AGCTGAAACCATTTTGAAGTAATCAACTTTACTTTGTGATGAATTTGAATTCCATGGTGACCCTGACCTTTCGATTCTGTCCCAGAGACTTCATGTGCTCCACTTAATTCTCTTTCCTTCAGTATTAACTATTCTTTCACCATTTAGGTAGATTCCTGTATATGATGTGAGCTCATCAGTGGGTTCTGGGATTATATATTTAACTACTTTCTTTCCAGGGCCACCTCGGAGTGGCTGCCAAAGACGCTTTCCAATCACATGAACAACTCCAGGTGAGGTCTTGACTGTTGGGGGGAGTTTTCTAGCTACATCCTGTAGTTGTTTTTTATGATTACTAACATCTTGTTTACTCTCCGATGGATCCCAAATTTCTCTAATACGAGTCTCATCTATGGCATTAGCCAGAGAAATATTATGCTTAAATTTGTCAATTACTTCATACAATAATTCCATGAAATGTGGAAGATTAGAATGATTCAAGGAATTAGAGAAAAACAACTCATGACCCGAAAAGTTAGCAGAAGACAGTTCAGCGTCGGTACCGTCACCAGATACACTCCTAGGAGTCAGGAGATGAACAGGCAAAGGGTTACTTATTTTGCTACGCAGGAAAAATAAACGTATTATGAGCATAACGATCAGCAGCAATCTTCTCGGGGTCCGATGTGTTACCCGCAGTAATCTTCTCGGGGTGCAGTGTGTTCCTCCCGCGTGCTCGGTACCTTGCCTGTGCCGAACATCAAGGACTAGATTGTTATCACTTGAGTTCTGCAGCAGGAGGGGGCACCGCACCCTCTACCCTCTTTCCCTCATTTGACTAATTCCCACCTGACTGTCAGTACTAATTAAACCCGGCATCTCCTCTTCTCAGAAGCCCCCCTTGCTTTCCTGTCAAGATAATGCTCTCTTCTGGCCCCTGAATATCCTGGTGACTCCTGATTCCAAGGGAGTCCCTGTCTGTATTTAAGAGTCTCTCTCCTCCTCCTCTCCCATGGGAGTTCCTTAAGGGCTGGGGCCAGTGGTGTTCGTCACCATGTCCTCAGCCCCAGGCCCTGGCTCGCCTGGCACAGGCCCTCGGGAAACATTGAGCTGGTCCTCATCACTACTGAGATGGGATTTTAGGGAATAGATAGGCCAGAAAAGATCTCCCTAGCGTATGATCCATGGTAGGCTTTGTCTCTGTGAGCTCAATTTCCTCATCTGTGAAATGGGTATAACAGTCTCAACTTCTCCAGGTTGAGAGGATTCAAAAGAAGCTTCTCTCACATATATAATGTGTCAGCAGGTGGAAAATGTCAGATGAACGATAAGCCCCTTCCCCAGCACAAGCTTGGTCCTGTTCTTAGCAACTGTCTCTGAGAACAGCAACCCCTGAAGGGGGAAGAAAGACATGCGTCCCCAGTGAGTCCTGGGCCCTGGACTCTGAAAGACCCTAGAGGTAAAGGGAGGAGGAGGGCAGAATTGCTCAAGTACCCTAAACTTGGAGTCACTAATTAAACCAGGAGACATGGGTCCGTAATTCACTGGCTGTATGAACGCAAGTGTCCACACCTCTCTGATCCTCAGTTTCCTGATCTGGAATGGAAGTTAGTAACACATACCAGCCTAAGACTCACAATAACAAGGACAAAAAGGTAAGCTCAGGTGGTGCTTGACTATTCCTTTTTTTTTCCTCTTTAAAGATTTATTTATTTATGCATAAAAGAGCACAGGTGCGGGGGGTGAGAGGATTCACCAGAGACAGAGCGGGGACCAGAACAGGCAGACTGACTGAAATACACTGCTGAGGGGAGCAGCGGGCAAGGCCGGAGAGGTCTGCTGCGCCATGTGGGTAGCTCCCTGACCGGCAGGGGATCGAATTGGTGCTGCAGAGGCTGCAGATAGCTTCACAGTGTTGTGCTTAACTCCTTGTGCCACCAGGGAGGCCCTATTCCTTTTTATTAAAAAATATTTATTTATGCATACAAGAATGGGTGCAGGCCAGAGGTGCAGGGGGTGAGAGGATTCACCAGAGACAGAGTGGGGCATAGAACAGGCGGATCTACGGAAAATTCCCTCCTGGCGGGGATTGAACTCATGCTGCAGTGGCTGGCAATAGCTTGATAGTGCTGACTTTAACCCCTGTGCCACCAGGGAGGCCCTGCTTGACTATTCTATCCCCAGATCAATCTCCTATTCTTCCCAGCACTCTCCTGTGGTTTGGGGGTGTGTGTATCTGGAAGCTTCCTGGGCAGGGCCAGGACCATTCCAGGCTGTGAACAAGAGTCTTTCCATTCTAAGTGGCTGCCTGGGAGCTGGGTGGGTGCTTGCAACCTGAGTTACGTGTTGGGAATCTGGACCACTCTGGACATTCAGGAGGATCCAAATGCTCACGATCCCACCCCCATCCCCCTGCTGATGAGTAAGTGACCAACCAGCCCTTTAGGAGATGTCTGTGGAGTCCTCCAGAGACCAGGGCAGCTTTGGGAAAACAGAGGGTCAGCCCCACCCACAGCTGTATTTGCAGGATGCCGCACAGAGCCTGGTGCATAATTGGTACTCTATCAATATGTTCTGGAAGAGCAGATTTAGCCACACATTCAGCAAACATTTATTGAGTGCCTACTGTTCTTTGCCCGGTGCCCAGAGATAGTGCACAGATGGTTCGACCACCCCCTCCACAATCACCCAGGGTGCCTCTCAGTCCCCCCAACTCTTCCCACACCCAACTCAGACTCCATGGTTGCCAAGCTCCAGGCATCAGGACTTTTCCCAGAATTGAGGAAATGCCCAAGCCCCCCCACCCGTGCACCTGGGACCCGGGAAGGCTGCACTCCCACAGCCACAGCCCTCTCCATCCGCCCTCCTCCATCCCCTTCAAAGGGCAGCAGGACACAGTCATCACCTCCCGGTGCCCTACATCCACCTGGGGCTATACCCGGAGCGGCCAGCAGGTGGTGCTCCAGCTCCCTTTTCCCGTGCGCTGCACTGGACTCCGGACCCCACCAGGACCCTCTCCCTCTTTCCTGTCCTCCCCAGCAGGGCCAGGAACGGACTCTGTGACCTCTAAGTGACCCCGCTCCATCCCTGCTGGCTCCTGCAAAGAGCCTGAGGAGATTCCAGTTGCTCCTGCAGGCCCCTGAGTTGTCTTTTCCTGTGTAGTGGGGGTGGAAAGTGGAGGGGTCCCTAGGGGCCAAGCTGCAGCTGGTGGGGTGGGGCGGGGCTGGCTGGGGTGGGGCAGAAAGCAGCTGCGGGAAGAGAGGAGAGAGAGAGAGAGAGCAGGAAAGAGAGAAGAGAAAAAGGAGCGCGAGACAGGGGTGCTCTGGTGCCTGGCTCCTATCCCAAACAGGTGCAGGTCCCTACTGTGCTCACCCCCAGGACAAGGTATGTGGCTAAGGAGACAGAGGGGCTGGGGTGCCAGTCTGCCAGGTGGGGCAGGTGTTGGGTGCTGAGGGCCGGCCAGTTCAACTCCGCTGCTCAGCAAGAACCTCCTCCCATCCTACGCCTTCCAAGGTAGTACGTGGGGGGCTGTGCAAGGCATCCTTGGTGGCATTAGGAGATGAGGCCTCTGTTTCTGGTCTTGACTCACTGTGCGAATTTGCACCAAGCTCTTCCCTTCCGAACCTCAGTTTCTTCATCTAAAATGTAGGGGGTTGATCTTGAAGCTGTTCTGTGGAATAACTTTGCAAGTATACCCTTTCCAAAAAGAATTAGCTCCTCCAGAGTCTGGAAGTTGGGAAGGCCTTTAAGACCCAAAGAAATGAGCCCCTAATGGTGGAATTTCAGACTGGGGGAGAAGTTGCTTTTCAAAAGATGGGTGGCCCCTCCATGCTGGAGGTCCTGGAGCCCTGGTCTCTGCCTCTTTCCTCAACCCTGGGACTCAGGGTGGGGGTGAGGGCTTCCCTACCTGCCTGGTCTTCCAGGGGTCCTCTAAGGAGGGAGTCAGTGGTGGGTGCAGGGGTGGGGGGCATTTCTCTGCTACCCCAAGATCAGAAAAGGGGAGGGCTGGCTGTGTGGGACCCAGCTAGTGGCAGTGGTAGGCATAGAGCTGTCCTCAGGGCAAGGGGGTAGCTCCTTCAAGCCCTCAAGCCCTCTTATTCGCTGGCTGCCTGCCAAGTCTCCGAAGCCCCCTGCATCTTAGAGTCATTAGCTCATTTACGGCTCTCAGCATTCAATCAGGCCAGAAGGGCTGGGTGGGGGACTGGAGCCACTCCTCCCTCACCCTGCTCTTGGGAAGAGATTGTTCCAGATTGTTCTCTGGCGGGGGAGGAGCTGGCACAGGCAAGCCCTAGGATCTCAAGGATCCCAGGATGGGTGAGTTTACTCCGAATGGGGAGACATGAGTCAAGCACAGGTCTGGAGTCAGAGCAGCCTGTGTGCAGATCCTGACTCTGCTGGGTGCCCTTGGGCAAGCCCAGTCACCCCTCGGAGCTGCAGTCTCCTCCTGTGCAGAACGCAGACCCTGTGCCGAGCAGGCCTCGGGCTGCCGTGGAAGTCAGTGACACCCAGGGTGCAGCGAAGCCCTCGCAGGGCAGCTGGCGCCCGGCCGGGCTCCCCGGCACCTCTCCCCGAGCCGGGCCCTCAGAGTCCGCGCCGGCTTTCGGGGCCCCGGGGCCGGCGCTCAGCACCTGCGGGAGGCACCCCGCGCCCGCTGCCTGCTCAGCCAGCCCCGTCCCCTAGAATGAAGCCCCTCTGCTCGGCCTGCCCCGCGCGCCTCGCCGCTCCTCCGAGCTGGGGCGAGGGTGGGGACCCCGGGCCGAGGGAGGACGGGCCGGCCGCGGGGTGAGGCGGGGAGCGGCGGCGCCGCCGGGGGCACTTGCCCGGCGTCCCCGGGACGGTGGCTCGGGGAGGGGGGCGGCCCGGGCCCGGCAGGTGAGGGCTGGGCGGGCTGGGGCGCCCTCCGCCCCTCACCCGCCCCCGCGCCTCTCCCCGCAGCGGGGGCGCCCCGCCCCCCGGGCGCCCGACGTGGACGCGGCAGCCGCCACCGCCGCGGCGCGGGAGTCGCTGTCCGCGGAGCCGACATGCAGGCGGCGCGGGGCGGCGCGGGGCGGCGGGGCCGCGGGCCGGAGCGCCAGAGCCAGCGGCCGCCGGGCGCCAGCGCCGCGGCCCCCTGCGCCGCCCCGGGCCCGCCGGCCGGAGCAGCCGCCATGCGCCCCCGGCCGCCCCGCGCCGCGCTGCGCCTGTGGCTGGGCTGCGTCTGCCTCGCGCTGGTGCAGGCGGGTAAGGTGGACCCCGCGGGGGGCGCGGGCCGGCGCGGGGGGCCCCTCTCCAGTCCCTGCCCTGCGCCCCTGACCCCACTCCCCACCCCCACCTCGTGACCCCTGGCTCGTCCTCCCGCCCCGACTCCTTCCCACCCCGCAGCCCCGGGTTCGAGGTGCCTGTGAACCCCCAGCCCCCTCGTCCCGGCCCCGGACCCCAGGCCTCGCCTCCGGAGCGCGCGCTCTGCGCCGGCCCAGGGAGCAGGCGAGGACACCGGCTCCCACCTTGGGCCTCCTTCCCTGTCCCCAAAACCTTGCAGGCCAACTCTGCAGCTCGGAGCAGATGGGATCCCGGTGTTGTGAGCCTGTGTGAGGGGAGGGGCCGGCACCCTAGGGCTAGGCGAGACTGGGGGTGCACCCCGAGCCTGGTGCAGTGTCTGGCCTGCCCCAGGGGACGGCCTCCTCCTGCGCTGCCCTGTCTCTGTCCTTCTGGCTGCTGCTGTCTTCCTCATCCTCCTGCTGCCCATCTCTCCGGGCTCCTCTCTCTCCCCGCCCTCCTCGCCCCTCCTCCTCCCGTCTTGGGTACCCCACTTGCCTGTTCTCTGATCTGTGTCTGCCACCACCTGTCTCTGTCCCTCCGGCTAGATCTGGCTTCGTCGCCCCAGGCCCCAGGCCCAGCCCCTCGGCCCTCAGGCCCACTCATCTGTGGGGTGAGGGTGCTGCACAGGCCCAGGTCCTCCCCTTTCAGCGCCTGCCCTTTGGGAGAAGTAGAGGCTTGCGAAACTCCACTGACCATTTTCTAGAAGGTTCTTCCCAATGGGACCCTCAGGGTCTGCATCACTCCCTCCTACGCCCTGCCCCTTTCATCTTCCCCATCCCTATGGCCCTACCTTGAACCCCTGACTCTCCCCCAGAGACCCTGCTGAGTAACCCCAGCTTTCCCGGCCACCTTCCCACCTGCCTCTTGGGGCTGGCAGAGTGTGGAAGAGGGCCCTGAAGCCCCTGCCCCAGATTTCATCCTGCTTGGGTCGCTGCAGCACCGGTGGGCCCTCTGCCATGCTGCACCCTCCCCAGGGCTCGCCCGGCCAGGCTGCTCTCCACCTCGGGTCCTCCCCTTTCCTCAAGGTCACTCGCTGGCAGTGAGGTATTACAGAAAGAGCACTGGGCTGGGAGTCCCTTCCACTGCTTTTCATCAGTCTAGCCTTTCGTCCCTGTCACCCCAGACCTTCCCCGTCTCTCGCCACCCCTCCCTTAGATCTGACCCTGGCTGGCCTGGGCGCATCCATTTCAGCTTGGCCCCCAGTGGGGCCAGTTGTGACCTCAGGGCCTCTTACCTGGACACACAGAGCCAGGGGCCTCTCCGGCCTGGCTCTTCAACCCACTAAGGAACTGAGGCCCATGCCCACCCCGCTGGAGGTCACGGCTTCTTCCTTCCCCACTGCGTGGCCTTGCCCAGGTTGCCACGTATGAGACAGAAGGCCTGGGCCTCAGAGCAGGGGGTGCTCAGGCTCAGGTGCCTCCCCACCCCAGACAGCCCTTCGGCTCCAGTGAATGTCACCGTCAGGCACCTCAAGGCCAACTCTGCAGTGGTGAGCTGGGACGTCCTGGAGGATGAGGTGGTCATCGGCTTTGCCATCTCTCAGCAGGTAACCAGCTCGCCAGGGTCCCTGGGAGGGAGGAGCTGGCAAGGTAGCCGGTGGAGGGGGAGGGGGCCAGTGCCGTGCAGAAATAGAAAAGGAAAGGGAACAGGGAGCAGGAGAGCCGGCCAGAAAGTTGCACTTGGGGCTGGGGGAAGGGGGTGCCCAGAAGGAAATCAGCCAGGGAGAGAGGGCTCTGGAGGCCTGGAACACAGGCATGAAGGGCTTGGTTTTGATCTTAAACAGGCCTGAGTTTAGGACCTGGCCCAGTTCCCACGGGATGTGTGTTCTTGGGCCACTCACTTCCTCTGGAGTGTGGTCCCGGTCCAGAACCCTCCTCCCGGAACCTTCGTCCCTCGGTGACATGGAGAAACTGATACCTGCCCGCAGGGTGGGGCGGGGCCTGGGCACTGAGCACCCTGTGTTGGCCTTTGCAGAAGAAGGACGTGCGGATGCTGCGCTTCATCCAGGAGGTGAACACCACCACCCGCTCGTGCGCCCTGTGGGACCTGGAGGAGGACACGGAGTACATTGTGCACGTGCAGGCCATCTCCATCCAGGGCCAGAGCCCAGCCAGCGAGCCCGTGCTCTTCAAGACGCCGCGCGAGGCCGAGAAGATGGCCTCCAAGAACAAAGGCAGGCCAGGCCGCAAGGAAGGGATGGGGTGGGCTGGAGGGGCTGTGGGTCCAGCCTGGGAGGCTCCTCCTGCGCCCACTGCTGCCCAGCCCAGAGGAGGTCGCACAGGCCCAGGGCAGTGGACTTTGCATCAAGTCCCGTGGCTGCCTCCCCAAGAAGCCGACAGGGTGTTCTTGAATCTATGTTCGACGTGGGCGTCTGTAGAAACAGGCACCTATGCTGGTGGGCTTGACCCTGAGGAGGGTGTGGGCAGGGAGGGAGCAGTCCCCACAGATGCCGCTGTCACGACAGATGAGGTGACCATGAAGGAGATGGGGAGGAACCAGCAGCTGCGCACGGGTGAGGTGCTGATCATCGTGGTGGTCCTGTTCATGTGGGCCGGTGAGTCTCCCACCCTGCCGCACTTAGCCTCTGGGAAATGGTGTCAGGTCCAGACCCTTCCTCTCACTGGGGACCAGATGTGGCCTCCCCGTTAGCTCTCTCCTCCCAGGAAATGTATGTGTGGCGAGGCCTTGTAGGATCCACGAGGACTTGCCTTTCTCCTTCCTCGGGCGTGGCTCGGCCTCCGGGGGGGACACCCGCCGCCGTTTGCCTCCGTCTCCTTCCTCTCCTGCCTTGCTGTGCCTCCAGCGCTAGAGGCCTGGGCTGCTGCGTCCCAAGAGGGAAGTCACGAGGGCGTGAAGGATGTGAGGCTGCGGAAGAGCCTGGCGTCGGTTCCGAGGGCCTCGGACAGGCCAAAGCTCTAGGAGCGGGGTGCTTGGGAGGGCAGCATTTGGGGGACAATGTTTCTGAGGCACATAGGAAAACAGGCACTTGAGGAAAAAAACAACAGGCAAAACAAAGCATCGTGCAGAAGCGGGGCCTTGCGTCTGCTCTGTGACGAGACTTGGCACAGACGGTGTGTGCTCGGTCCTGACACTGTGAACGCAGTGAACGAACCCACAAATGTGTTGTTGTTAGGACGATGGGGCAGGAAGTAGGGGGTGTTGTTAGCCTTTACCTACCATGGTGAGACATCAACAGATAATCTCTAAAACAGATGATCGAGAATCAGCGCTATAAATAAAGGATAGAGGTAAAAATGGGGAAACACCTACAAGAACTGGAGTGGCTGCCTCAGTGCTCTCCGACTTTCCAAAAAGATTATGTTCGTGGATCATTAGTTTGTTGCAACAAACATGGAGCAGGGTGCAGGCCCTGGCTCCCGTGCTGTGTGCCCTGGAGGAAGTTACCTAAATCTCTGTGCGTCCGTCCCCGCGTGCCCCCTGGGACCATGCCAGTGGGAGGCCGAGGGTCAGCGACACAGACGTGACGCACAGCACAGGGTCAGCAAGCGCTTGTTTCTGTTTCCGCCTAATGGAAAACCGGGAACTGTCAGACATTAAAGTGGTGGGGGGGAGACGTGACCAGTGCGTGTTGTGGGATCCCCTGAAGGGGCTGGTGGTGAGGAGACCAGGCGGCCTGGGCAGGTCACCAGCTGGAGCTTAGCAAGCACTTGTGGGAATGAGCCTCTCCCGGGCCTCTGAGTGCTCCCCGCTGCACCCCCTGCCCCCAGGCGTCATCGCCCTCTTCTGCCGCCAGTATGACATTATCAAGGACAACGAGCCCAACAACAACAAGGAAAAAACCAAGAGTGCGTCGGAAACGAGCACCCCTGAGCACCAAGGCGGCGGTCTTCTCCGCAGCAAGGTGAGGGCAGCGCCGGGCTGGGCGGTGGCGCCGGGCCTGGGCACGCGGGGAGTCTCCGGGCACGGAAAGCGGCAGCCCAGGGCCTGGCGTGGCTGCAGAGGGACAGAGCCAAGCCTGGCGGCCGCTCGAACAACACCAGAAACATTGCATCTTGGCTTGAAATCCGCTCCTTGTGCGCGGTGCCAGCGGTCACGGGGTAGAAGGAGCGGGCGGGCAGTGGGTGAGTGGGTGCAGGGCCTGAGTGGGTGCAGGGCCGCCGCGGGCTTCTGGGCTCCTGGGCTCCTGCGCAGGCCGGCGCGTTGCCGCTTTGTAACTTGGTCTCCTCTTCTCCAAGCAGATATGAAACCTTTCCCTGCTTTCTCTGAGCAACTCAGAAGAAAAACAGTAGAAAGTGAGAGGATCTCGCGGTTCGGAGGATGATCATCCCACCAACATCTGGCCCTCTACATGCCTCCTCCCGCCATCTTCTTCGCCCCTGACTGACTGTCCTCTCCCTCGGCTTCTCTCTTTCTGGCGCATCTTCCTGAAGCCTCTTACTAGCCCCATCTCCAGAAGCACCTCAGTATGTTGCCGACGGAGGCTGCAGTGAGAGGCACATCTGCAGGACGGGAGAGAACGGCCAGCGGGGCGCTCCGCTGGGAGGGCCGAGTCCCAGGGGCCGTGGGCCCAGGACAAGGCGGAAGGCTGGGCTCGAGAAGGCGAAGAGGCGAGGCTCCCAGGCAGGCCTGCTCTTCCTTCCACACGGGGCGAGGGCCTGGCTTTTAGGCTGCAGCCCGGCCATCCGCCCCTTTCTTGTGTCCTCTCCCTGTGTCCGGCCTGGCGAGTCTATTCAATTAGCCGCGGTCGCTTCTTTCATTTTTTCCTCCCAGTTCTCAAGCCAGCCCTTGGTGACCATCACTGAAGCATGACCGCCTGTCTGCAGGAAGAAGGATTTCATTTCTCTTCTCTGCCGGCCCCCAGGCCCACAGGCACGGGGAGAGGGAGGGCTGCAGCGGGGGAGGCCAGGTTAGCTGCGCGGTTCTCCTTCCCCCTCCTGGGCTGGTGAAGGAGGCTCAACTACAGACCCAAATTCTGCAAAAAATAAACAAGCCACAAAACTACAAGGCCTGGGCCCATTCTGGAAAAGGCAGAGCTGCTGAGACACAGCCTCTTCGGGCCCCGCGCCTCTCCTGGACGGGCTCCCTCTTTGAGGAAACGCACAAATCTCCCGGGAGAGGACTGGCACCTGGACTGACTCTGGCTGTGTCTTTCAGACTCAGAACTATCAGGGAATCCGTGGGGCTGCCCGCTGGGCAGGGTCGTGGCTGCCATCAAGCCTTTCTCTGGATCCAGCCATCAAGGACTAGTTTGTGGTGCGGTGTACAACTCTGTGTGTAAGCTGTCTGTTGTCTCTTTTGCAAAACAAAATTGAAGGGCTCCACTTTAGAGGCAGAGGGATTTCCCGAGTTACCTGCTTCCTGTGTCTTCTTTGGCCCTCAGGGGTCATAAGACCACCACGTAGGAAAGGCCTGGAAGGGGACGGCCCCGTTTCTTTAGGCAAAGTCTCCTGGAGTTGTAACAGTGCTGGGTTGGACAACTGGAAGGGTCTGTCCACATGGCCGTCCTGGGGGCTGCAAAATCACCTACTCTGGAGTGGAAGCTGCTGGAAGGCAGGCCTGAGCCATTTACCACGGACAGTCAGAGCAGCTCTAGCCTGTGGGGTTTCCATATCTTGCCATCTCATCCGGGGTTGTGAAAGCTACCCAGGGGCCTCATGTCCTTCCCTAGAGCCTGAGTGGTAGGAGGTGACAGGTCTCTCTCTCTCCACTGCCTCTTTCTGGTTTAAAAAAAAAAAAAATGGTGCTTGAAAAGGGAAGGCAGATTCTTCCCTGGGACCGAAAAGCTTTGACTGCTGAATGCCTGCATGGGAAGAGGGACTCCGCGTCTTCCGTTGGCGGCTGAGAAGAGGACTGTGGAGGACTGTGCCTAGCACAACCTGGCACATAGTAGGTGCTCAGTGAACTTCTGTTGAACTGAATGCTAAGAGCAGCAACCTCCAAGCCAGAGAGCTGAAAGCCATCGCCCAGTGACCGCCCCTTCCTCCCGGTCTACACGGCTCTCCTGGCGGGGGCAGCCACCGCTCTGCTTCGCCTGAGTGTGACGGCACAGGGAGAGAGGAGAGAGGGTGGAGGCAGATGTCAGCAATACTAAGGGCTTCCTCATGGGAGGGCATGAGGCTCCACTCATTGTCTTGTGACTTTCATCCCTGCTGAATGGGGCTGCAAAGGCCAAGGCTCCTTAGGGGAGAGGTCCTTACCTCTGATCCAGTTAGAGCAATAACCACTTTTTAAATGTAAAATAAAAAGACAAATGAAAAGGCACATCCTTGTCTTCTGGTAAATGCCCAAATGTTGCCCTCTTTTTCTGGCAATTGGCAGCAAGTCAGGATGTGTGGAGGAGGGAGTCAGTTCTCTCTCTCCATTTTGGCCTGCAGTTTCTTAGGGACATGCCTGCCAGCCAAGCTGGAGTTGGAAGGGAAATCTCGAACAGATGGGGGTGCACGTGTAGGAGGAGAAAATAGCTGCTCCATCATCCTATTACTGCACCCCACCCCCAAACCAAGCTTGGGCTGCCTCACCACATAGGTATGCAGGCTGGTACTCGGTTAAAACAAAGGGTTTTCCCCTGTGGATGGGGCTGGGTGCTTTCCCAGGCCAAAGGAATGCAGTTCTTGTTTCTCCCCAAGGTAGGAGGGAAGCGAAGAGGAACTGCAGAAGCTGCTTGCTGCTGCGTGGTGTTCACAGCGGGCTGTGCGGGCTGTTAAAGGGATACCAGCAGTGGGCTGAAAGGTAGAGCAGTGACGCCATCAGCCAGCGAGCGAGCCAGTAAGTGGGGCACCTCGAATAGTCCTGTCCAGAGCCAGGAAGAGCCGGGAGAGAAAACCGGTGAAAGGAGAAACGTCAGGCCAAAGGCTGTTGGGCATGGTTCTGAGGGCAGAGTCCATCTTAGAAGCTGGGTGGGAAACTGGGACGTCAGCACACGGAATCCTACACCGGCTCTCAGAGAGGTACCTCCCAGCCCCTCTGCACCCCTCTGCGACAAGGGATGGAGAAGACCCCCCTCCTCCCCCAGCATCAGGTCTAGATAGCATCAGGTTCAGGGAGCACCGCCCCGGGGAGTTCCGTCTTCAGTTTATCTGTGCTTGTAGCCCACCAGCGGAGGGTGTGTGGGGAGAGCGGGGAGCTCTCCTCCTGGCCTAGATAAACTCCATTCCCTTTAATTACCTCTAGATTCTGTACCAACTGAGCTGCTCCTGAGTCAGCTGTAGCTGCGGAGTAGAGCCCTACGGCTGACTTGCGCTGTGGGCCTTTCTTCGCGCCTCACTCAGATCTGCAGGTTCCTCCTCACAGCTTGGGAAGGGCCTGGGCAAGTTCTCTTGACAGAGACCTGACTCGCAGGCCACAGGCAACCTGTGGGAGAACACTGGGCTGTGGCGGGAGACCCGCCTTGTCACCTAGCACCTCAGGCCTTTTACTCGGGAGTGGAGCCTCCTCAGAGGGCCCCTCCCCCGTGGCCCCCAGCAGCTGGATTTTCTTATCTGTCAGCTCTAAGGACAGGATTCCCTGACCCTTAGCCACCACCTAGAACAGAAGCCAGAGGTTTCCTCATAGGAACCGAGAGAAAGCGCAGACTGAGGGGAGCAAGAACTAGTGTTTCCACGGGGCAGAAAGCCTTTCCTCCTCCGAATCCTGGCCCTGGACCCCTAGATTCTCAGTGCGGAGCTCCTCTAGAATTCACTTTTTTTTTTTTTTTTAATTTATAGAGGCATGTTTTTATTTATTTATTTGTTTGTTTGTTTGTTTTGTTTATACAAGCACTGGGTACAGTCAGAAGCGCAGGAGGGTGAGAGAATTCACCAGAGCCAGAGTGGGGAGCAGAGCAGGCAGAAGGACCGAAGGACACTGCTGAGGGGAGCAGCGGGCGGCAGGAGAGGTCTGCGCGCCATGTGGGACCCTCCTCCGGTGGCCGGGGAGCAGCCGGGGATCGAACCGGCGCCGCAGAGGTCGCCGGCAGCCTCGCAACCCAGCGCTCAAGCGCTGCGCCACCGGGGAGGCCCTAGAATTCACTCTTAATTCACTCTGCAGCGATAGGCAACGCCTCGCCTCTCCAGTCATGTGAACGTTCAGCCTTGTCCTTTCCTCACTGACAGTTTTTGGGGTTTGCTTTTAAGAAGTAGCCTCAGAACAAAATTTTCTATAAATGGGACATCCCCGCCCACAGCCCACATCAAGCTCCATCAGGAAGATATTCCCAAACCCTCAACTGTGACTTGAAGTCAATCAAGTTAAAGATCTTTGTTTACAAATAATTCCTTAATGAAACCTTTCAGGACTACCACCCCGACCGCTTCAAAGGATGCCCAAAAGGTTCCATTTCATTTTCTCAATGGGCGCTGGGGAGGGTTAGACTCGGCCCACGGCGCGTTCCAGTTGTCACAGGGGGAGGACAGATGGGAGGATTGACAAGTCGGGGGCTTGTTCACTGTGGAATTCCACCACTGACCAGCTGATCCTGCCTCTGACAAGTGGAAATATTCTTCCTGACAGGTGCTGCCATACAAAGCAAGCACAGCCTAGGCTCGGTTTCGGAGTACCCGTTTTCTCTTGGAAAAGCATGACACCACCAAGAAAAGCAGGACACTTTGCCTTCTAGTTTTAAGTGGCTGGTTTTTTCTTCCTTTGGTAAAAGCTCAAAATGGGCTGGTGGGAGAGAAAATAAGCCCATTCCATTTCTTCTCACTTTCCCATCATGTCAGAGAATTCAGTCTGATCTCTAAAACCTTTGATTGCTCCAGTAATATACTGCTTGCTGAAACGGAAATAAGTAATTACTGAACAAAGGATCATTTACACCTGACAGGAACAAACTGGGATCTGTATAGGCCGAGTATCTCAGCTTCAGACGGAAATATCAAATAGCCGTGCATTTAGCAAATATATATTGCACCGTTTGCCCGGACTGTAGGACATATAATAGACAAAATTTATAGAACAGCTGGACGGAGAGCCTATCTAAACATGTTGCTACTTACTTTCTCAGCATGAGCTGAAATTTAAAGTGTTGGCTTACACTGGGAACAAGCTATTATTGACTTCTCTTTCATCCTTGCTCCTGGGGGGCAAGTCTAAGAAGCTTAGGCTCACAAAAGGGATCTAAGGAAGGTGGTGGTATCTCTGATATCTACCCACTTATCCAACATTCACCCCACATTCCAGGAGGAGTCAATTTCTAGAGAAGTTGGGTTAACCACCACCATGGATTCTGTACTAGCCATTCTGGTTGCTCACATCCCTTTCAAATGGACGACACCCCAGGGTACTCAGCTTCTTCTAAGCCAGCCCCAGCTCCGGAGAGGCAGAATGCAGAGGTCACTCACAGCCCCTGAAAAGAAGGAATGGAGGCCCTGAAAAGATCAGAATGCCAGTCTGATCAGGCTGAGCCACCTTCCCTGCAAAAACAGCAGCACAGTGATATTTCAGGCTCTCGTGTGTCAGGATCCTGACATGCACTATATGGAGCTGCAAATCCCAATCAATTTCAACATTTCTCAACTGCTGGAACGCCTTTTCAACACTGTAATTTACCCTCAAAAGAATAGGGAGCACGCACCCTCGCCTCCCCAGTACCACATTCTACTAACTGCCGCCCCCTCCCATACCCCACTACTAAGCTACCTACGCAAAGGGGGAAGGAACCCTCCTCAAAGCCCGCAACAGACGGCCACAGTACATATGCCACTGACAAGAACTTTTATTTCTTTTTAATGACATTAAACACAACTGCTACAAGGGAAAAAACATGATAAAGAGGAGGCACCAAACTTCAGTTTCATAATTGATCCTGACAATAACTCAAGTAAATCAGGGCCTGCATTAGATACAAAACTACAGGTTACATCAGGCTCTTAAACTCTGTAAACAGAACAGTTTTACTCTGCTTTGTCAAGACCTCTGTGGTGAGAATGTCATCATGGATGAAAGCTGGTAGACAGTTAATGCACATAACTGTTACTAAAAACAATACGGCAAGAATTCTACATGAAGTATTAGACTTACAGGCCAACACCAAATACGACACGAAGTTTTAAAAACATTAAAACTTCAGATTCTACCCACTACCATCTTTATGGCAAATACGCCTGATAATGAGTTTTCTTTGGCTTTGTTTTTTCTTCTTAAAGAATACCATGTTAACCACTAGAGAACAGTTCTCTCCTCCCCCAGTCCAACAGATTTAATTAAGCTGCTAAAGCTTTGGAAAAACAGAATTATTTGAGCGAAGAGGAAATGTGATTGTCACATTTTCTAGTTAACCCGTCACTCACTTTATTTGGCAAAGGCAGGGCTCCCAGTGCACACTCTGACTTAAATCCTCCTGTACCAGGAAGGCAGAAACATCAGTTTTAAATTTTTGCCACAGCAAAATGCTGTTCTTCCCCCTTGGGTTACCTGTGGGGAACTCAATAGCTGCAATGCTAGTTGTTCTAGCTACAATTAATTTTTACTATGCTAAGGCTCCAGAGTGGATGTTTGCATGTCATACTCCCTCAAGCTAATTTATGGAAACCTGGAGAAGTGACTGATGTAGTAAATGCCAATTATGTTCATTGAAATAATAGTTTTTGACTCTTGCCTTTGAACAGAACTTTGCATTTTGGTCCCAGAATCTAAACCAGTTGTTCAAGGAAAAGAACATCCTTGACTGGCTAACAATAGTAAACACTCAGGCACATCAATATAAATTGGTGGCCTCAATGAACAAGCTTTCCCCATGTCAGTTTCTAAAGCAGGATAGGATGTTTATGAAAGGTTACTCACATACAAAGATGGGCCAGTTAAACAACAAAACCAGACAGAGGCAGCTTGCTCATTAGCACAGGCTGTGCTACAGCAACTATGTACAACCTTCACAAAGAGTGACCAACAATAGTACTAATGTTGGCCTGCAAGATCTCCCAAAAGCTATCTAGAGCTTTAGGTAAAGAGAGAATAACAAACTCTTAAGACATCCATAAAGACAGCTACACAGGCTGTGAACTTGGATTCGAATACCAAACCTTAAGATCCGGCAATGTTTTTTGTGCACAAGCTTAGTCAGGAGCTTTGTGAAACTGTGCATCCAAAGTCTGACCAAATGAAAAGAAGGTAACATCTAGGATGTAAAGGCACCTGCTGTTAACTAACAATGGAAACAAAAGAGTGCCTCTCTGAAATGTCTCTCACAGGATGGATGGAGGCTTTCTGACTAACTCATCAACTCATCCTCGAAATTGGGGTATAGTAGATAAAGTGAAGACCAACTGACCCCTCAGTGGCATGAACTTTCTGGCCTGTTAGAGTCTAGACTTTGGGTAGGTAGCTCTTCAATAAAGAGAGCGGGGAGGCTGTTCTCAAGAGGCAATCAGTGTCTAACAAGACACAGGAATACTCTGGTGGACTCCGAAGGTTTAGTAGTCACTGGGGAGAAAAGGAAAATCCTTAAAGAAGGCAAAGAAGATAATCAGTCACAAGACTACAAATCAACAAGGCTTTCTCAGTAGTCTTGTGTCAGTCAGAGTTAAGATGCAGAAAGACTTGTAAACACTATTGTGAAAATAAATTTAGTGTAGAATGAAAAAAGGTAAAAATAAAGGCAACTAAATAGGCACGAAAAAGAGAACATAAGATTTGCACTGTTAATCTGTCCTTTCGACAGGATTTTTGTCCTGCTCCATCCCACTTCAAATGTCCTGAATTACCAACTTAAAATTTCTGACAGTATTTTCAGAAATTCAAATAAAAAAGTAAGAGGGGCTGTTAAAAGTGACTTACATCCATGTATAAGTTGTTGGCAATAATTACCACTGGTTTGCAGTCTAATAATCTCTTCCTTATAGGAGAATAAAAAGTGGTTTCTGTTGGGCACCAGAATTATCCACTTCACCTCTGTATAGAAGTGGTGTCTTGCTTCTGCCTGGGTGTTTTAGCTTAATGTTGGCTTTCAAGACAGACAGACAGACACACACATACATACACATAGACACAGATAGACACACACACACACCCCACAGACCTTGGACAAAAATTTTCAAGTCAGCACTGGAGATTTTCCAAAAAGTGACAAATTCTTTAAATAAAAATCTTGTGAAAATAAAATTCAAAATCTACAAAGCACAAAACAGCAGATGATGATGAAACGCTGCTCTGGACAGGACCATGGATAAAGACCTTCACTGCTGATGAGATGAGACAAAAGGACTGCACGGGAAATCTGTGAGACGCTGGAAACGATGGTGGCTTCGTTCATTCCTATCAACCCACTGAGTCAGGCTGTATCTCTGCAGAGGGTCCTGTCGGAACCGGGCATAGTTTCTATCAGGAGGGAAAATAAAAATAGGAAAGATGAGGGTTTCAACTGGGATGGCTATTTGTATACAAAAGAGACCAACACAACTATTTTAAGGATATCTTTACTTTTGAAACTAGCTATCAATTTTATATTTTGATCCTCACAGTTTTAGAAATATGACACTATTTTAGTTATAGGAAAGATACATTACAAAGATTATTTACTTCCAACTCCCAAAGCTACGTAATTCCATACAAGTATTATGGTGATATATGCCATATACATAAATGTTCTAAGAAATGCATAATAATATAATGTTTAAGTAGGAAAAATATTCTCTACTTCTAGAAACATTCTGAACAGGATCTATATTTCATCACTTGCAACAGACCTGTACCTCCAGCAGGACCTCAGGGTCTGACACAGCTTAAAAGATTGCTCAGGACACAGTAGTTAAAATTAGAATAAAATTCTCAGAGAAGCTAAGTCATCATGTGAGTATCACATTGTAAGTTTAGAGACTGAACAATTAACAGCACAGATTCAAAGTAAAGTTTCTTGAGAGTCTCCTGCTGGGCTAGGTTTCTGAACTGAATGCTCTGAGATAATATGAGCCCATTCTCAATTCCAGCTGTTACTAATAAGCATTTGGGAAATTTTGAGCAAAGGAGAGAATATGACTTTTGTTATAAAAGAAATCTCTTTGGTCACTGAATTGAGAACATTTAGAAAAGCAAGGAAGCTGGGAAGACTATTTACGAGACTTGCAATAACCCAGGTGAAAATGATGAGAAATGGTCAGGTTTTAGATATATTTTGTATGTGGAGTTTAGAGTTTATAGCATTTGCTAACAGAACATAAGGTAAGACTGAATATAGGGTGAGAAAGAAAAAGTCAAAGATGAATCCAAAGTTTCTGAGTAACTAGATAAAAATAACTGAATAAGTCTACAAACAACACTCTCAAAAATAAAGAAGATTTTAGAACCAGAAAGGTCTTTGACATCAGTTAGTCCAACATCTTAATTTTACTGATGTGAAGATGAGAAGTGATTTGATCAAAATCAGATAGCTAGTTAAAAATTGCAAAGCTAGTATTAAGACCTAGAGTTAGAAAAGGGATGTCAAATACCAAAGAGCACCTGCACCCTTATGTTTATAGCAGCACTATTTACAATAGCTAAGCTTTGGAAACAACCCAAATGCCCAAAAATAGATGACTGGATCAAGAAGATGTGGTACATATACACCATGGAATATTACTCAGCATTCAAAAAGATAAGCACATGCAATTTGCAGCAACATGGATGGCGCTGGAAGGGATCATGCTCAGCAAAATAAGCCAGAAAGAAAAAGAAAAATACCGTATGGTCTCACTCATAGCAGGAATCTAGAAAACTTAAATAAGGGACCAGGAAAAAGAATAACTATAAGAAAGAAAATATCAAAATTGACAAACAACTATGAACCAGACACACTCTATGGGGATGGGGGGGCGGGGAAAGGAGGGCTTGGGGTCAAAATAAGGGGGTTGTATCTGCAGCGCCGGTTTGATCCCCGGCTGCTCCCTGGCCACCAGAGGAAGGTCCCACATGGTGTGCAGACCTCTCCTGCCGCCCGCTGCTCCCCTCAGCAGCGTACTTTGGTCCTTCTGCCTGTTCTGCTCCCCGCTCTGGCTCTGGTGAATTCTCTCACCCTCCTGTGCTTCTGACTGTACCCAGTGCTTGTATAAATAAATAAATAAATCTTTAAAAAAAAAAAAAAAAAAAAAAAAAAAAGGAGGTTGTAATTGTATGGGGAATATAAAAAATAAAATTTAAATTAAAAAAAAAAGGGATGTCAATCCAGTTTAGTCCATTAAACTTTACTATTTCTTTTTCTACCTCTGAAATTGAACAACAATTATAACACCAACTCCCCAATATATTTCCTCCTATAGCCAATTCTACCCTCTTGATCCTCCTTCTAGTCACCCACTCACCGCTTGGTGAGGTCTGAAGGATGTTGCCATTGTTGGTTCTGTAGATGATAAACTTGATCCATCAAGGCATTACGCTCCCCCACAGAACCTGTAATACAGAGGGAACAGTGGTTAGGAAGCATGTCAATCATGGTTAAAGAATTCTTTCAGGGAAAGAAAACAGGCACTGGTCATAATAGTAACTATCTATGATAATCACAAGCAGTCAGCACAAAAACTCCAAGCCAGAGAGGGGAGCCTGGTCTTGGATGATGATGAGATAATGATGATGTATAAGATGGTGAGGAAGCAGTAGTGACAGTCATCACTCATTCATTCAACATTAGCACCAAAAATGTGTGAGGAACTTTACTGATCCTTAGAATATGGATGTGGACAAGACACTAATACCTATTCACAATGAAGTTATATAGGAGACAGGTAAATCCAAAATTCGTGTGATAAGGGCAGTGACGGAAGAAATACGGGCTGTTATGCAAGCACGGAGCCAGGAGGGTGAAGGTTAGAGAAAGTCTCTTCCAGAAGAAGTAAACTATAAGCAGATATCTAGAGAATATATAGTAGTGAAGGAAAGAGAGGTGGGAGGCTGGGGTGTCTAAGAGGAATAGCTGATACAAAGGCTCAGAGACACAACAGCAAAATATATTCAATAAACAAGAGAAGTTGAGACTGGGGGACTTTTCTAAACAAGAAAAATTGTTGGATGTAATTTCTCATATACCGACAAGGTGCTAGGTGTTTATATATTATCTTACTTAAAACAAATCTTATATGGAGATAGACTTTGTCATTAACATCATTTTAGAGATGGGAAAGTGGCCCAGTGATGTAAACTTGCTTCAGTGCTTATTAAATCAGACTCAAAACTAGTTCCATGCCTTTGCCACTATTTGATAGTGCTAATTTTGCACATAAGGGCTGAGCTAAAGCTCAGGTTAATGTTAATTTACAAAGATTTTTCAAACCCGGTGATAACCAATCATTCATTTATAGTGAAGTGTTTTACTAAACACATCGGTATATATATAAACCATGAATATATAGTATTCAGCAGAAATTTCTTCTAATCATGAGCTAATACTTTTCAGAAAAATTTACAGATTCATTACATTAAAAGTTTCTGTGTGGGGGGCCTGTCTCCCTGGTGGCCTAGGAGTCAAGTCTCAGGGCTATCACCTCTGAAGCCTGAGTTGGATCCCTACCCAGAGAGATAACCCACATAGCGTAGCAGACCATGTCTCATCTGCTGCTCCCCTTAGCAGTGTATTTCAGTAAATCTGCCTGTTCTGCTCCCCACTCTGTCTCTGGTGAATGCTCTCAACACTGCACCTCTGGCCTACACCCCAATTCTTCTGTACACAAATAAATAAATCTTTAAAAAAAAAAGTTTGGTGCCTCCCTGGTGGCACAGCGGGCTGAGCACAGTGCTGTGAAGCTGTCCGTAGCTTCTGCAGTGCAGGTTCGATTCCCAGCCGGCCAGGAAGATACCCACATGGCTCGGCAGACCTCTCCTGTCTTGCCTGCTGCTCCCTTCAGCAGTGTATTTCAGTAAATCTGACTGTTCTGCTCCCACTCTGTCTCTGAATCCTCTCACCCTCCCGCGCCTCTGACCTGTACCCCAGTTTTTGTATAACTAAATCTTAAAAAAAAAAGTTTGTGATTAAAATTAAAAAATACAACCAAGGATAAAAGATAATTAACCAAATGAAAACTCTATTTGAAACATATATGATGGCAGGTTCAATGTCCTTACTCTACAAAAGTAAGCCTGAACAAAAGAGGTAAAGGACATGAATAGATAATTCATAGAAGTAATATAAGTAATCAATAAACATACTGAAAAGATGTTCAATAATCTCAGTAATACGGAAAGAAAACATATTAATTGCACTCCTTGAGAAGGAAATATAAATCAGAAATGAGTTTCCCCTTTAAAAAGAGAAGCATTTTTTGATCGGAAAATCCTTTACCTGCTGGATTATTATGCTAAAATAAAAGATTTTGATCCAAATTTCCTTTCCTCTGCCCTCATATCATTAGCACCCTACTTCCTCCACCCTCCCCACAAGTACATTTCAGTGTGTGTGTGGAGGAAGGGTGTGGCAGAGTATAAGCAGCTTTGTAAAGAGTTCAAGATACATTTCTCTTGCCAGAGCGTCACCAAAGTAAGGCTGATGAGATATGTTAATTCTGGTGTCCAATCTCAAAATGGAACAAGAATATATGTAGGCTATGTTCTTCAGCTCACTAAACTCTTACCACCTGATTCTATAAAACTGCCAATGGGGAATAAAGATATACTACAAACCTATAAAACCTCTTTAAACTTAAAGGAGACTGGTCAATTTGGCTCAAGGAGGCTTCAAATATTCAAATAGGAGGAGTCAGGGCCTCTGTGGTGGCGCAGCAGGTTGAGCACAGCGCTGTGAAGCTGTCCGCAGCCTACGCAGCACCAGTTCAATTCCCGACCGGCCAGGGAGAATCCCACATGGCGACGCAGAACCCTCCTGTCTCACCCGCTGCTCCCCTCAGCAGTGCTTTCGGTCCGTCTGCCTGTTCTGCTCCCCGCTCTGTCTCTGGTGAATCCTCTCACCCTCCCGTGACTCTGGCCTGTACCCCAGCACTTGTATAAATAAAAAGATATCTTAAAAAAAAACAACAGAAGTCAAAATCTAACAGTAGCAACTTACATGGAACACCACTGATTTTTACTGAATGTTCAAAGCACGTTACGTGTATTAAACTCATTTATTTCTTTTTTTTTAAATGATTACCATTTTATTTTTATTTATTTATTTTTAAAGATTTATTTATTTATTTATACAAGCACTGGGTACAGTCAGAAGCGCAGGAGGGCGAGAGAATTCACTAGAGCCAGAGCAGGGAGCAGAGCAGGCAGAAGGACCGAAGTACACTGCTGAGGGGAGCAGCAGACGGCAGGAGAGGTCTGCGCACCATGTGGGACCCTCCTCCGGTGGCTGGGGAGCAGCCGGGGATCGAACCGGCGCCGCAGAGGCTGCGGGCAGCTTCACAACCCAGTGCTCAACCGCTGAGCCACCGGGGGGGCCCTAAACTCATTTATTTCTTACAACAATCCTATGACATATTTCCCCCATTTTAGAGATGAAGAGGCTGAGGCCAAGAGTTCAGTAATTTGCCAAAGGTCACATAGCAAGCAACAGCACCTGAATTACAATACTATAACACCATCGAAAGGTGGAGTTTCCTTAAAAATGTTTCTGCAACTGATAATTTCATAATTGGGATTAGAAAGCAAAAACCATATTGCATCTGTCTTTTGTATACCCAGTTGGTACCTAGCACAGTGATGAGTAAACAGGGTTCAATAATTAGGTCTCAGCTCATGCAACAAGAAATGTTAGCTTTATGGGCCTCCCCGGTGGCGCAGCGGTTGAGTGCTGGGTTGCGAAGCTGCCCGCAGCCTCTGCGGCGCCGGTTTGATCCCCAGCTGCTCCCTGGCCTCTGGAGGAGGGTCCCACATGGTGCGCAGACCTCTCCTGCTGCCCGCTGCTCCCCTCAGCAGTGTACTTCGGTCATTCTGCCTGCTCTGCTCCCCGCTCTGGCTCTGGTGAATTCTCTTGCCCTCCCGCGTGTCTGACTATACCCAGTGCTTGTATAAATAAATAAATAAATAAATCTTAAAAAAAAAAAAAAAATGTTAGCTTTAATTAGCTCAAAGCACCAAGAACTTACTGATAGACTAACCTATATGATTAATAAGATTTAACAATCTAGAAATAATGGGAGCTAACATTTATCAAGCATTTATTAGACACTTTACTAATTGCTTTAATGTATCCTATCTTTTAATCTTAACCAACAAGGCAAATATCATAATCTCGATTTTATCTGTGAATAAACTGAAGCTTAGAAAAGATACTCATTTATCACCTAGAAAATCAGAAAGTCAGGATTCAACGCCATGTGGGGCCAATAATCCAAAAACCTTATTTCAGCTCATAGCTTCAATCTCTTCTTCCTCCAAATTTAGACATGCTAACAAGAATGGAAACATTTTAATTTTCTCTTCCCTTCATAGTCTCTAACAGATGGATTTTCTTGGACCAACAATCAGTATCCTGGTTTTATTTTAAGTTGTAGCTTAAAGGTGGTGAAGACTGTCCTTTGTTTTATGGCTAAGAATGAAATTTATCTAAGAATGAAATTAGGAAGATAAAACCCTCCACATTTCAGGAATGATATCAGTAATTCACCTAAACCGTAATGTATAGGTCTGTAGCTGACTGGTTTTGGGGAAAATCCACTCTAATGACTGTCCTTCATAAAAGTGAATCAACTGTTATAAAAGAAGAGGAATGAATAATGCTTGCTATGCCAATTGCCGTTCTGACAGGTTTCATAGGTCACCATATGTTTATATCATATGCCCCTACTCAATCAAGTGCGGCAGGTGACCCAAGAACACAGAATCTCTTCAATGGCTAAGAGGTAAACTGGCACCAATGATCACTGAGTCAATCAGATATTCTCCTTTGAATGTGAATTTCGGTAATAAGAAGAAGTGAGAGAAGAGCATACAACAGGACTCTAGGAGAGGAGAGACACTTGAGAGAGCAAACAGAGCGCAGCAGAAGCGCTAGCCATGGAGATATAATATTATAAGTAGTAGAATCACTTGAAATCAGCAGGGAAAACCTGAAGAGGGAACAAAGGCACCCTTTTCCAGTTGGGTGTGGGGTCTGGCTCTATGGCTCATTCTTTTTTTTTTTTTAAATATTTACTTATGCATCCAAGAGCTGGGGTATAGGCGAGAGGTGTGGGGGGTGAGAGGATTCACCAGAGACAGAGTGGGGAACAGAACAGGCAGATTGACCAAAGTACACTGCTGAGGGGAGCAGAGGGCAAGTCAGGAGAGGTCTGCTGCGCCGTGTGGGTTGTTCCATGGCCAGCCGGGGATAAAACTCATGCTGCAGAGGCTGCATACAGTTTCATAGGTTGTATCTTAACTGGTTGCACCACCAGGGAGGACCCCTAAGGCTCATTCTTTTAATAAAAGTCCTGGCTATGTTGTTGGACATCTAATTTTCATCTTTTCCTACAGTCCTT